TTTACAGGGCTTTTATGACGATGACCCGAAAATAAGTTGACTATTAAAAAGAACAGCTGAACATCAGTTCTCAAATAAAAAACCGAGTGTCTATTTACAAGTGCAAATAGCCCACCTTGTTGGCAGAGGCTATTTACACTAACTCCGCCCATCAACGTGTGATTACAAAGCATTACAAAAGACTATCGTCTAATAACAACTCCAGTAGCGCAGATGGTAAAGTATGCGTTGAAGTCGTTTTTGACGCGATTGACCAGGGTTCGAATTTGCCCAAAAAAAAATCTACTTTTTCAAATCAGATATCACGTCATTGTTATTGTTATTATTGCATACTGTTTTATAATGTACTACAATACTGAGGTGCAGATAATTGCCACTATCTGCAATAAGTAGTATAAATAGCAGAAAATCCTGCTAGGTGTAAATAGAATCTATAGCCATTTGCACTTAGTGTAAACATTAAGTGTAACAAGGGCATGAATTTTATATATATATATATATATATATATATATATATACACACACACACACAGTATATATAACTGCCTCCTCATTTTAAAACACCACCGCATGCCACTGTATTATACTATATATATATAAAAAAATTTCATACCTCCTGAAGAATCTTCAGAGCCTTCACATGTCTGTGGATTATTGAAAAGAGATGATATTACTGTTAGTAGAAAAATAAAAAAACAATAAATTATTTGACTTGAACAAAACCATCTGTCCAATTCTGTCAAGCAGATATATCGCTGATCATCCAAGTGATCCCAACATTTCGACAGCCAATTTATGAAGCCAGTTGAGATACATAAATACATTTGAAGGGCTTACGGAAAAAGCAGGCTTGCTTAGATACTGGATCACATTTAATAAATGTACTGTACACACTTAATGACTCATTGAGTCACTGCTGAAATGCAATATCTTAAGGCAGACAGTCCAGTAATAGGCTGTCAGTTTGAGTATCAGAGGAGCTGTTGAGTGAATAAGAATAGACAGTGATAAAGATGTGGACAGAGCCTGGATAAAGAAGATCCTCAAAGGACATCACATGAAAAACAATTGGACTGTACTTGGAATGCGTTTAAATCCAGACAGAGACAAACACTCACTCTCTTTCTGAGTCCATCAGGTCTTTGGCAACATAGTAGGCTCTGGATCGACCATCAATCTGCGAGTGACAGAAAAGAAAGCCATGAGAGATAAATGAAAAAACCCAGTGTTTAAAGAGTTCAAGTACACATAGTTCAGTTACAGCACATGGTAAAGAGAAATATATAGATGATATGTATAAAAATTAGTGCTGTCAAAATTAGCACGTTAACGCATGCAATTAATTTGTTCAGTTTAACACATTAAAAATATTTAATGCATTTAACGCAGGGCGGAGCTAGGGTTGGCCACACTACTCACAATGGCTGCTTCTGTCTCTTTTTTCTTTTAAATTGCGGTTATTTAGACACAGTACATCTTTACGAAAACATCAATCGGGAGACTTTCAGACGTGCACTCCAACTTCGCCTTAGCGCTAGGCACTAGTCAAACGAGCACGGAAAAGGTACAGGTGACGAGGAAGCTTCAGTAGAACAACAGTGAACCGTGGTCAGGTGAGATGTTGTCAGGCCATATGTCAGTAAAAACAATTTTTCCTGTCCTGTCAGCCATTATACTGTGCTCGTAGCACGTGCTCTTCAATTGCGGAGGCACACTGTATATCATTTCATATTGAAAATTAAACTACGAGCATGCAATGTCATAAAAGTATATTTAAAAACTTTAATGTTAGGTGGGGTTAGATGGGATTCAGAAAAATTAGCAATTAATTAGCTAATTTTTTTAATCGATAAACAACACTAATAAAAATATTGATAGATATACAGATGAGGACAGAGTGAGAGGGGAATTGATGTGCTGATCTAATTTCTCATACAATCCTGTCAAAAGAAGACTGATTATTTCATTAAAGCACAACGCAAATGGGAAAGCTTTCCTGGCCGTGCCACTTTAAGCACAGATGCATTATGGATGAGACGCTGTGTTCATGGCAAGCACAAATCCACCATTGATTTGCAAGCTAATCACAGCTGTCTGAACACAAGTGTTACTACTGAATGGCCGTGTTTAGGAGAAAATGACTGCATGACTGGTACTTCACTGCTAATACTGTGTATTACATATTCATGTTTAGATTTTTAAAAAGTCTTTAATATCTGTGCTAGGGTCACTTTAATGCATGTAAAAATCCATTATAAAACCAATTACAGTGCAGCTGGCTTTTTTCCAGCTTGTCGCTGTGCTGAAATGAGGCTGGGGTAGGTTACTCCCAGATATTCTTTTCTTTTTAAAGACGAAGAAAACAACGAAGCAGGCGTCACAAGGCCGGGGCCCTGGCTGATATTACAGTGGCAGAGGAAAGGGGCGGGGTCCGCCTCTCACTCCAGCACTGAACCGACTGCCAGGAGACGTATGAACCTGGATCTCACAAAAATGGCACACACAAGGAATTCCAGTTCAACAGGGAGGGTCCTTGTTTTTATCTACTTTAGCATGCAAAGCTGTCATTACTCTGGTAATACAGCGGTTTGAGTTTTTCTTATCAGTGACCCACAAAAATGATGATTTGAAGTCTTCTTAAAAGTTAAATAGGTTAAAGTATAAAGATCCATTTATACTGTGAAAACAGATTTTTGTTTATACATTTTTTTATTATATCATTTTATTATATATTTATATTGTATTAGGTTTTAAAAGTACTGTACTGTAAGTACTGTATTGTAAATGATTCTTGAAAAAATAAATGCTAAAGTATGTTTAACTGAAATAATTCAGAAATAATTTTCTGCAGTCTCTCAGACCTTGAATTTCAAAATTCTTTATAATACACTTTTTTGGGGGTTGATAAAAATGTTTTTATTTTTATTTTTTATTATGTTCTGCTCATTGAGGCTGCATTTATTTGATTAAAATGACAGTAAAAACAGTAACATTGTGAAATTTTATTAAAATTTCACTTTTCTAGTTTAATATATTTTAAAATGCATTGTTTTTCCTGTGATCGCAAAGCTGAATTTTCATTACTCCAGTCTTCAGTGTCACATTATCATTCAGAAATTATTCTAATATGCTGATTTTACACTGAAAAAACCCCCCCATTTCTTATTATCAATGCTGAAAACAGTTGTGCTGCTTAATCTTTTTCATGATTGTTTGATGAATAGAAATTTCAAAAGAACAGCATTTATTTAAAATAACATCTTTTATAACAAATTTAATGCAGAATTTCTTACAAGAAACATCTTACTTTTGCAAGCACTGACATTAGAATATTTGCAATAGATAATATAAAATTGATAACTGACCTGTCGTTCATGGCAGTGGTCTCCACAACCATCCTCTTCCTCAGATGTGCGTCCATGGTCTTCCTCATTGGACACAGTGCCAGACACAGGACAAACAGGGAATGACTCAGTGTAGGCACTGTGAATGGATAAAAACATGAAAGAAATGTTAAATGCACTATGATCATCACTATGGGTTAGTAACTGTAGTATTCACAGGCTTTCACAGAAAACTTAACGCTGGATTTTGACCCAAAGTTAAGCAAATTTCACACAATTTTTATGGTTTATGAGTCTCTTCTCTAGATTCCATGCAAGCCATACATGCACAGAAACTTTAATGAGCTGTGTTTAGTTTTCAGCCTTTATCCAAGGCTAAAAATAATGTGTAAATTTATATTTAATCTCTACAAAGTCCACTACCCCAGCTGTAACTAATAGAGCCCAGAGGAGAAACTAAACAGTTACGATAAGAATGCTGCATGTGGCAAAAATCACAAATCAGTCAATCTCTCCATATCAAAAACAATGGAACAAATCGTCTCAAAACACAATGTTTTGTATTAGAGGGCACTTTGGTGTCCAGCCATGCAACAAATTCCCCCTCTTCATTTAAACAAGACCTGGTGAGAATTCATCCCCCACTTCTCCTTACAGTAGTAACACGGATGGCTGGGGCCAGATTGCGAGGACATTTACGGTTGGGCATGAAGGGCTGGCTTGGTGATCCTGTGGTGAGCACTTAAACCGAGAAAAAAAAAAAACAATTCCAAGGATATGCAAATATGCACATAATGAAGATGCTCTTATACTTATCTAAAGGCATTAGCAAGCAACTCTTCTGACTTTTGCGTTAAAAAACAAAAGTACAAAAGATTTAGAGGTGCCCAGCTGCGTGTCATACTACTCAAGGATACTGTGCACTGCACACACAAAATGTCTGGAGTTGGAAGTGGAAATTGCTCATAGCCAGCTGAACTGGGAGAGCTAAGGTGACAGTTCGTTTAGAGGCCCCAGATGAAGCATATAGGAGCCTTCTGGAAGGACATCACTACAATCTTCAGTGATCTCACCAGCTGAGGACTCCATTTTCAGTGAAAGCGGAACGAGAGTTAGCATAAGACAAAACAAGCTGATTCTTTCATCTCAAACACATTTCAAATGAATTCAAACTGAAATTGCCCATATGTAGTTTTACAGGATCAAATAAAACTGAGATATAATTATTAACACATCTGTATTACTGTCACGAATTCGGTCCATGGACTTCCGTTTATTCACCACCAGAGGTCACCCTTTCCATTACATTGACTCTCGCACTACACAAACTGTTGCATAGCACCCCGGACTACATATCCCATCATTCTTTGCACAATTTGCACACTGCCCTGATTGCACTCATTGCACACAGCTGTTTCTAATCACCTCATTCACTATATAACACCCACTCTAACCACCTTTCTCTGCTGAGTATTGTTTAGCCTGTACCCCTTTCCGAGTCTCCGTGATTTCCTTGTTTTGCCTTGCCTGTTTCTGCGGTATCTGATCTTTGCCTGTTTTCCTGGATTTCTCCCTCTCGTCTTGCCCCTGTGATTCTGTCTGCTGATCGGTGACCTACGCTAGCCCTAGGACTATTCTTGTGTTTTTGCCCGCCATATACCTGTTTGCCATTGTTCGACCCTGCCTGTTATACCACGTCTCTTTAAATAAAGCTTGCAGATGGATCCACACGTCTCACGTCTCGTCAGCCCCGTTACAATTACATACTGGTATTTGATTTACGTCTTTTGCATTGTGCAGAAGGGATTGTCACAACTAGGGCTGGGAGATATAGCTAAAAAATGTATCAACGATATAATGTTTCATATCGTTCGGTATCAATAATTATTGAAATTTTTTATAACCTTTTTTTAAAACAAAGAGCAATAGAAAAAACCTTTTAAATTTAACCACTGTATTTTTAAATTAACCCAATTTATTGAGACAAACAACTAATATTTTTTGTTTGAACAGTCAAACACAAAATAAAATGTAAACAAATTTCTAATGTATTATATGCAGATTAAACAGGTCTGAAGGAAACTTTTGGCTTGTCTCCCGAGGCCACAGGAGGGCGTAATGAACAAAATAATGCAGCGCATTAAATTGCCAACGCAAAGGAAATAACTGTCTATAAAAATAAAAATGTGCATTACGTCTAAATTAACTCATATAATCAAACATAATTTCGTAAATTGCATAAACAATTATGAACAAAACAGCATAATGTATTTATGCATTGCTTAATACAAGGAGCCGAATCGCCCATCACACAGATTGCCTTTAAAAACATATGAGACGCAGTGAAACGGAATAAACCTCCACAAATTCGTGACGCGTTTTCTAAAAGTTTAAACTGTTTTAACTTTGCATGACTTTTTATACATCTCTTGTGTGAGACGTGAGAGCAGCAGTCATATTTGTCCGTCTAAAAAATGTGCTGAATATGTGATCTGTGTGAATGGCTTGGTTTCGGGTTTTAACCTAATCAAGATCTTCTACGCATTGAGCTACTATATTTCTCTAATATTTTGAATGAATAACGCAGCAATTGCGCGTCTTGTGGGCTAGACTTATAAAACATTAAAATACAACAATGTCACTTACATCATGATCACCGCATCTCGCGCTCCACTAACGACGCTCTCTGACACACTTCTAACATTTGATGTTACTATTTTTGCATTCAAATGCAAATGTTTATTTTAAATTCAACTAATATTCATTTTATTTATTCACAATCTCCTCATCACAGGCAGGCACAGCACTCAATTCAGCATGTTTTCGAGTTTGTGTGTGCGGTCTGCGTCACTCATAGCACGTGCCTATAGCGTGCGCCATATCGAAATGTTTTTATGTTGTTATCGAAGAGGATGTACCGTCGATAAATATCGATACTGTTTTATCGCCCAGGCCTAGTCACAACACAACAATAAAATACTACAACAAAATAATCTAATATATAAAAATAGTCAAATAAAAAATACATAAAACAATATAATATAAATAAATATTACAAAGAAACAGTATAACATAAAAAAGTAAAAAAAATACAAATTTAACAAACAAAAAAGGCATTGGAAACTTCTAAAAAGTTTGTGTAAAAATGTGCATCAATCCTACATAATCTCTCCATCTGCCAAAAGTGACAATTTACACAATCCCCCTGACTCTTCAACATTACCATTTATGAGAAGCAATTATGGCGCAAAGTACTTCTCTAAGCTGTTTGCTTTAAGGTACCCATGAGCTAAATTTACTGCAGAAAATTACAGAGAGACTGCAATGATTTCCTATAACACACCTATATGTCCTACTGCCTGACGCTTTCCTGAGGCTTGTTACATGTAATTCAATTGATTTAAACTCTTGATAATAAAATATACATTAGAAACCCCAGTGTTTCTCTGTCTGAATCTGTGTAATAGTGCTATTATAGAAGATAAGCATCGCTGAGATGACTTCATTACCAGACTTCATTTAACAAAACGTATTAGAATGCAGATGAGGAGAGAGTGACGAGCAGCACGTGTTAGCTGAACCGAGAGATGCATATTCCTGCTTGGTTTTAGTCTGGTGGGTCTAAGATTCAGAACAGATCAAAAAGGGTCTAATTTAATTTCTAAATGGGATTCTTGTTTATCTAGTCATCTGAAACCCATTTAATTGATCTTTTATGTTAAATATGGCTTTTAAAATCATTACATTCAGTTCAGATGATCTGCTTTCTGACAAATATGTGTACATATTTACATTGAAAATATTATTCAAATCAAATACTGGCCCCTGCCTTTACTGTCAATATTAGAAAAGACATGGAGAAAGCTGGGAACAATGACAACAACAACATCTTTGTGGTAGCCTTGCTTTCCTGACTGCCACACCTCGCCTTGTTGTTTGGGTCGCAGGGGAGTCTGGGAGATCGGTATTGCCTGTCTCCACCCCATCCCACTGACCCTGTCCCCTCGCCCTTGTCCTGCATTTCCTGTAAACAGCAGTGTGGAGGCTCATTGGCTGGGTGCGTCCTCTCTTGGGATAACCTGGCAATGACCTGAGAGCCCTGGGCACCAGGCCCAACTTGGAACGGACCAGACCAGGTCAGACCCACACCCAACTTTGTGAGCATCTAAATGCAAAAGTCATTCAGAACAGATGTGTTTCTTTTCTCTCAATTATCTGGTAGTATGTTTCAAACTATATTTCTTAGTATCTCAAACTCTTTTCCTCTTTTTTATATTTGATGCTATGTTTGCTGTTTGTTGTCATTTTCTTATTCTATAACAATTGCATAATATTCATAATAATAATAATAATATACTATTATAAGTGCCATGAAAATGAAGAACCAATTTAATATATAGGTGCAGAGATGTCTAGACAACCGGCAGTTTCTAAATACATGCATGAACAATAACATTAACTGAAACAGATATTTCATGATTATTATAGATTAAATTCTGATTATTAAATTCTATATGAATACTTTTCAAAATAATGATTAATAAGAATATGAAAAGACAAATATTTGATAATATAGGGGGTTTGATAGTCAATATTAAACACGATAGATGCTATTTATAACTATAAACAGCCCACTATTATGCTGAAGGACTTTCACATCTTTCCACAGTCATTCCCTCACACTACCCTCTGTCCTTTGGGGTCAGCAATGAGTACAAAATATTTCTCGGTAAAACTTTATTTTAAGGTGTCCCTGTTACACGTTACATGTACTTACTACTATAATAACAATTAATTATGCATAATTACATGCAAGTAACCCTACACCAAACCCTAATCCTAACCTAACCATATAGTAAGTACATGTAGTTAATTAATATTACTCAGTACTTAAATGTATAATTACACTGTTACAAGGACACCTTAAAATAAAGTGTAACCTGTTTGTCTTGTGACAATGCCACATAAGGGACATGTTTTACCACTCTGTATATAACTGTATATTTGGGAATCAGAGTTTTAATAGGTTTTACATGTTTCCTTGTCCATTTAACTCCTCTTAAAGATGTGTGTGTTTGTCTTTAAGAACTAAGAATCTACCTGTCAGTAAGCAATCAGGATATGGATATTCTGGATATGTACCGTGTTGTTTTAGTTCTGTGTCAATGTTTTGTGTAACTACAATTCTGTTGTTTTATGTCTGTTTGTTTTAAAATTTTTAAAGGGGTCATACGACATTGCTAAAAAAAAGAACATTACTTTGTGTATTTGGTGTAATGAAATGTGTTTATGCGGTTTAAGGTTAAAAAAACACATTATGTTCCACATACTGTACATTATTGTTTCTCCTCTATGCCCCGCCTTTCTGAAACGTGTAGATGTTTACAAAGTTCATCATTCTGAAAAGCTAGGTGTGCTCTGATTGGCCAGCTTTCCATTGCGTTGTGGGCTGAATACCTCAAGCGTGTGACGGAAATGTTACGCCCCTTACCATATTGTGATGCCCTGTCCGGCCGGAGCGACGAGACATAAACATTAAAACCCATTATAAACAAGGCATTTGTAGCATCCAGTGGGGACATAATTACAGATTATAATGACTTATACTGTCTTTTTACATGTTGCGTTGCGTATAGAGCTGCGTAAACATAAATCCATTGACACACTCTGAAACAATTGAAACAAATCTGCATTTGTGATCGGAGAAACGACAAACAACAAGCGCTACTCTACACTGCTCAAAACTCGCGTTTGAATCATCAGTGGCAAATCCTTTAAATATGAAAACGTACTTACAAGCTGTGAGTCAGCATTATTTGTCAGAACACCGGCACTGTAGGCAACTCTCCCAGGAAATCGTCCTCATCCTCCGTAAAATGTGTTGCACACATCTGAATATTTGGTTTGAACTGTTCTGGAACAGTGTTGTAAATACAACTTAACCACTGATTTCTAGTTGTGCCCTCTTTTGGAAGCCCAAACAAAGTAGTTTTGCTTACACAACGAAACACACAGTGTCTCCACGACATGGCGGCGGCGGCAACAATACTACAGCGAGAATCAAAGTTATGCCTTCTTTCTTTGCGTGAACATTTGGGCGGTGTTATGCAAATCTTCCCACACAGTGACATAGACATGTGGGGCGTGTTTAAACAAGGCGTTTTAAGGGGCGTGGACGAGTCTTAACTTTTATAAAGAATATCTCTTTGGGTTTGTGACTTTAGTCTTTGCAACTTTAGGGATCTTATCTATTCACGAACAGCTTGTAACACTCCAAAGAGAAAGGAAAACTTGAAATCGCATCATATGACCCCTTTAAACAATTCATTTTTAAACTGTGTAGCCTCTGCCGATAGGGCCAAGTGTTACACTCTAATTGGCTTAGGCATGAAAAAAATATATTTTTTTATGCACCTGCAATCAATCACCTTCCTGTCGTTGTGTCTCCATCCACCAAAGTGGCAATGTCAATTTTTCTCTGCAAGCATTCAAAATATGACAAACGAAAACAGACAGAACATCAGCAGTGACGGAGGATTCTCTTGGGACACAAAGCAACTAATGGTGCAGACACATAGGCCCATTTGCAAACATGCAATGCTGTTAGATTGCACAGCAAACACAATGAGTCAATAATGTCACCAGAAAAAAGCTCCCTGGCTCCCATATTATCTTCTGAATAATGGAGGATGCTCAAAAGTGTGCCACATTAACACTGTGTCCAAGACTAACACCCAAATGCAGCAAGTATTCACGCTTTCCTCAGCACTCAAAAATAAGTCAATAACAATTTACTGGGAAAAGCTAAAAACAATGTATGGTTATGTAAAGGATATTATGAACATTCACACCAAGTGTGAATTTTAACCATAAATACCTGGTAATTTTCCATGGGAAAACCTAATCCTATGAATTCTATTATTATTGTGATATTTTTATATCAAGCTATCACTTCATTTTACTTCTAGCAATGGATTTTATTTAGCATGAAAGCCTGAAATCTGTACTGAGCTTTATTTTAGGAAAGTAAATTTATAATGACTAATGTATGCATAATCTATCAAATTTAAATCTAAAGAATGTGAATATATGAAGTCAAGTGAGTTGCATTTACATACACATTTTTTTCAGAGTCAATAAAAATGTGATTTCTTCCCATTCTGAATAAAATTATGAAAAATACCTTTTTACCCAAAAGACTATACAGAATGAGTGATAAACAATGGAAAGACTAACAACAATATAAGCAATTCTGGACATTTCCCTTGTGTTTCTCTGAAAATCTGATTAAAAAGCTAGCCAGAGGCCAATTGCAAAAGTCAGGGTCTTTGACTACACTGGAGGTAATCGAGCAGAGGTTTCTAATGATGACTCTAGGGTGGTAAAGTGAGAGTAGAGAGGGTCATACACTCAAAAGAAGGTCAGAAAGTCATCTGTCTTTAAACCTCTGTAAATCCTCAAATCTCCCAAAAGCCCAATAAAAGAAACACACTTGGGGAATTTGGCTTAATAACACTACATGCTACTAAAATGCTCACCCAGAGGACAGAAATCTCTTATTGGTTTTCTCATCTATTCCCCTCCACTCAGCTGCATCAGGCTGTGAGAGCATTGCAAAAAAAGTGAAAAATAGCCCTAATGTTTCATCCATGTTTTTCCAATACTATTTGTATCACTGAACAATTGCATTGAATTCTTTCTCACACAGATAGGGTACTCCAACAAATGTACCATCAAATCCTGCAAATGGGAAAATCAGATAAGCTACCCTACAAGCATAGTCCGTCTTTCTAACCCATGAAACTCAACACCACAGGCTGCTCCACTACCACATGCACAACACAGCACCTACAGCTTAAGTGACAGTGTTTGGCAAGTCAGCTTGCATCATTATAACACTACTTTATACAACAGTTAGTGGCTTTCCAGCCAGTTGATCTTGCTTTTGCTTTGTTTGCAACTATTTTTGATTGGAAACACAACTGTGCCATAATGCGTCTGAAATGTTGAGTTGTTTACTATTAACTTTTGGATAGAACTGTTGCATAAAAGCAATATCACTTTGTATGTGCACCAAGCTCGCCAGTATTTCACGATATAGTCTAGAATCTCTGTAATACTTTGTCTTGTTTATTCAGCCAGGAAGATTACAGAAAGTGTTCTGAGACAGAGAGAGGTGCAAGCTGAGCTATCAAAGTGGCCAAGCACTTGCCTAATTTCCTGTTAACATTGTTTTGGCCAGCACTTCCTCCAGACTTGGGTGATGGTACTGCCATTGTGTGCAGAGGAAGGGGTTTCAGCATTCAAAATATAATTCTGTAGACAATCTTATGCTACAGACTGATGATTTAAACAGAAATAAGTCTTCCTAATATATTCAGATCCCTTTTATCCTTTTTACAATTACTTTTTACAATGTGGAAAAAAAATTCATTTTAAAGTATGTTTTTAAAAACCTGACCATACCTTTCAGGGTCTTGCTCTTGAGTGGCGGGTTTGTTTTCTATTCCTGCAAAGCTATTCATGTCCACATAGCCGTCGTTCTCATTGGAAGGTGCTGTTGTCCGATTTTGGTCATCGAAGAACTCTGTAATAGTGACTGCCCGAGTAGGTCGTCCATGTGGAATCTGGATATTTTCATAGTCTGAGTCAAACAAATGTTTTTCACTATAATGTATGCATTTAAAAAAGACCCTGTAATACTGCGGACAGAACTGGCTGTTGACTATTAAGTCACATCATTTAACAGTACTGAAAAGTTAACTCTGAATTAGTTGGTTTCATACCTACGTTCATTGTCGGATGTCATCCACCATGGCATCTGATATATTTCCACATTATTCCTTGATATTCTGCCGAAGCAACAGTATATATCCAGAGGTGCCGTGAACTTACTCCAATGACATTTGTCATAAAGCCTGAGAGGCAAGCAATAAACACTTCATCACTTATTCGACGGCGTGCTTCCAAAAAATATCAGTTTTATTAGCGACTGTTGCAGCAGGTCTCTTCAGACCCGCGCGCTTCCCGCCTGAAGGAATGAGAGAGATGCGCTCGCGCTCCGATCTGCGCGTGGAGACTGAAGACTGAAGGTGTTTTCCGCGCGCTTCCTGGGGAGGCAAAGCGAGTCTCCCTCACAATAATACAAGGATCGATGACCGAACCCACAGAGAAAAACATCTAAAGCCAATAACCATCAGTGGCGTACGGCACTTTCTCGAACAGCTGCTCCATTGCTGTCACGAGATGGTATGTTTATTGTCCCTTGCTCTCAGAAAAAAAATTATTAATAATAATATCTCGACATTTCTAATCAAATTCTGTTTGTATCACCACATTGTCATTCCATTTAGATTCATAGCCTAGAAATTATGGCTTAAATCATTAGGTAAAATAATAATAACAAAAAATATAAATAAAATTTGTTTTAAAAACAAATGTTCCTGAAAACAGGTTCTAAAACAGTTTCTCTAAATGCCTTTGGCCAGGCTTCCTTTCTGCTCAACTGTTGCCTGACTGGAGGAAAGCAGCTCTTTAAAAACCTCTCTCTCTTCATAACAGGAAACTGCTATCCCTCTTTCCTGCACAACAGGCTACAAATGAACAAAGGTGCTGCTGTTAACTCTACTGGGGAATTGCTGCATTCAGGATTTAGACTGTATTTTTCCTAATGGAACTCAACACTGATAGGAGACCTCTAATTCAATGAGTATTTTTAGATGAAAACAGTTCTTATAAATAAACCAAATAGGGGACGCCCAGGGAAAGCACCAGTTTTTTTTTTTGTGAGGGCCCACCAGTGATAGTCCTGACTCAACTGGTGCCCTATGCATGATAATACATTAACAAAGAAAATAGGAAAAAAAGACTTGGTGCTAGATTTTTCATTTGGCATGCTAGGGTACTGGGATAAAATCCTCACTTAACATATAGCTATAATAATAATAATAATAGTTTGTATTATTTGTATTATTATTATACACAAAGCAAAATTGCAACTGACCTTGACAGCCAATAATCATCATGCATTTGTTATTTGAAGCAAATTGTCAGCAAAAAGGAATGACTTGATTGGACTAAACTAATTTAGATATGTAAATGGATAATTTCTGTCACAGCTTTTTGGACAAACACTTCTCTCCTACAAAATGCATGCAATTTAATGCTCAAAATACAATTTTGTGGGGATGTTGCCTTCAAAATTCATGAAACTCCACAGGACTCATATCTTTATATCTATCTCTCTTTCTCTCTATATGTCTACACTCAGACTGAAGGTCAGATGAACACCATGAGCGAAAGGATAGCAGTGCTGAGATGTAGGAGTGTAGCACAAGGGAATAAGCCATTTGTGACCCTGGACCACAAAACCAGTCTTAAGTCGCTGGGGTATATTTGTAGCAATAGCCAACAATACATTGCCAAAAATCATTAGGATATTAATTAAAGATCATGATCCATGAAGATATTTTGTCAATTTCCTACTGTAAATACATTAAAACTTAATTTTTGATTAGTAATAGGTATTGCTAAGAACTTCATTTGGACAACTTTAAACGCGATTTTCTCAATATTTAGATTTTTTTTGCACCCTCAGATTCCAGATTTTCAAATAGTTGTATCTCGAGCAAATATTGTTCTATCCTAACAAACCATACATCAATGGGAAGCTTGTTTATTCAGCTTTCAGATTTTTTAAATCTCAATTTCGAAAAATTTACCCTTATGACTGGTTTTGTGGTCCAGGGTCACATATGTTCAGAATGTTCATAACTGCCTGCAATGACTATTAATTAACAATTTGTTCTCTAGACCATGCTGGCTTCTGAAATGGACATCAAATTGCTATAAACAGCTTGCATTATGAGCTAGACATCATAAAATAATTGTTTTTGTGGCCTTGACCCCTCCCAAGACCAATATTTACAACAGCTACAGCATCACATGAGTTCTCACAGGAAACATTGTTATTCCTGTAAACTGTCTGACAGCTTGAATGACAACATTTAACAGAAATCTCCTTTCTTAAAAACTGTGTTCTCAAAAGTTTTCACAAATAACCTGATATTTCAGAATACATTTTCAATATAAATACATATTTCAAGCTTTAGACTGGATTTGTTTTGAAATGTGTTAGTGGTCCGTTCCTAGCTACTGTGCCTCTTCTTTTGTTCTTTTAATGGCAAACCACAGCCAAAGATAGCACACAGCTGGCATTTTACTGTGCTAATTGTGTCCCTTACTGGAAAGTATACTATGGCACTAAATTTGACCCTTTTTTGCATTTTTTCAGACAAATGTGTTTTCATCTTTGGGGACAGGCGCAAAGCGGAGAGTGTTTAGGCATTGTAATTGAGAGGGTGACTGAAAGAATAGCTCTGAGATAAATAACCCTGCAGATGTGGTCTATATGCACAGGATCAAAACATGTTTTCTAGATTCTGTGAACAAATATTTCTGACTGAGCAGATCTGCAGAGATCTGTGCCTCTCCACCTGGATGGCTGCATTATGGCACATGCCTGGAATAAGAGGAAAAACATGTCAGAAACCAACTTTTTTTACTCATAAACACACGTATTCACAGAACTGACCCAAACAGGAAACTGATTGGGAAAGAGGGTCAATGACTTTTTCCCCGAGCTCATATGAGTCTCTCACCACCCTTTACATAACACCTGCCTTTAAAAGAACACATTGAATGTTTCTAAATTCTGAAAAGCTGGGAAAAAAGCAGATTATTATTGAACTGAAAAGGTACATTTGGACAGTGAAAACTGCTAAACATTTTCACATAAGGAAGTCTCATTGATTTGTGTCAATGATACTCAATGTTACATTATTAATTTTTACAGATATTTACTTTTTTTTTTTATTATTGTCACTTTTCACCAATTTATATTAAGCAATTCTAATTCTAAGAAATTATTCATTAAGAAAATCTAATAAAAGCTATGTAGAACTCTCTTTTTAGCACTAAAGCTCCACTCCAGTCTGGGGTTCTCCAGGTGTCAGACAGTCATATTCCCCTAGAGGAGAACATGAAAGAAAAAATAGCATCAGCAGTCTTAGGTAACTCAAAAGCACAGCTACAGAAACAATACTCTCACCTTCCCCCAGTTCCTCGGCCAATGCCACGCTTCCAGAGAAAAACAGGTGAAGCCAGGAGTCAGCACTTCATCAAAAATAGCAAACAAAAACTGCACTCCCTGTGGAGTCCGGGACCTCTCAAGCCAAATCAATACGACGCCGCTGGTCATGCAGGTTATAAGAATGCATATGTGTAGTTAAAGATTATAGAGCAGTCTGTGCAGCAGTTTTTAACCTTGTGTTCATATACATTAATATGGTCAATGTCTTTTTGGATATATTCATTGATTTTTTTTTTCCTGGAGCATAAAGTCAAAAAGTGTCTGGATGATAACTGTATCAGACATCATTATGAAGAAAAAAGCCACATGAAGGGATCAAATTCTTGAAAAGCCATAACCTTCCATTATTGGAATCATTTTTCATTATTATTTCTCAGAGAATATTCATATTATTCATATTAAGGTTTAATATGTTTAATAGGTTTAATAACATGTAACAATATTTAATAATATTTTATTATTACTTTCACTGTTGGTATTATTATGTTATTGATATTTGAAAAAATTACACCCTCAAAATAAAGCCACCAGTAAAATGAATTTGGTGCAACCAACACGCAGAAAAAAATCAACAAATACTATTCATAGGGCTTGATATTTAGGAATTCATAATTCATGTTTAAAAAAAAAATGAAAACATTGAAATATATATATAAAAAAAATAGAAAAATAACTTAAATGATTTTAGCAAATGGCTGCAATATAAAAAAGAGTGAAAAATTTAAGGGGGTCTGAATACTTTCCGTACCCACTGTATATATATGTATATATACACATTTTTGGATAAGTATACATATACATTTTACATAAATGTATATATACATTTTTGAAAATAATAAAGATGCATTCAGATCTACTCAGGATGGAAGAATTAGTCATTTAACTTAAACCTTGCTTAAAGATTTTAGTTTTTAAAAATCATATAAAACCACCATGAATACAAATCGAAAGAACTTTGTGTTTTAAACTAGATTTTTAAAAGATTTCTGATTTATCATTAACCCAGTAGCTTAAAATTCAATATTCTAAAATGGTTGCGTTGCGTTGATTGTAAGTTTGCAAGACTGCAGGTGATGTAAAAAAAAAAAGAGCTGTCAGTGAGTGATACTCATTTCAAGTCTTATTGTCAAGGAGGTGTATTGCTATTTTCAGATGCTGAGAAGGGGTCAATTAACTTAAGTACTGCTTATGGAGAGATAGAGTGATTAGTGAGATTTTAAACATGTGTGTATGTTAAGCAGGAGGGAAGGTCATGATAACAAGTCTCTTGTTTTGCCTCCATACCCCTCACAGAAAGACACAGTACTCAGAGCTGCACTGTAATAACATCGATTTGCCGGTCATGAATAAAAGTCTCAAGAAGCCTCATAAAAAGAATTGTGGCTTGGCCTTTAGAAGCGCTGCACAATGGGCCAGTCAAACACTAGCCTATAGCCTTTAGCACAATAGATTTATGGACCCTGGAGAGCTTGATTTCTTTTGAAAAATGGTGCAGAGTGCCTGGCTGCCCTTTTCCATCACATTCATTCTCACATTCTGTTTTGCTTAGTATTCTAATGCAAACACAAACACATGCGCCTTACAGCTCAGCACTGTGCAGCATGACAGAGACTCTCATTAGGCTACAATGATATTTCTTCTGATC